CCTTTATGCTACTATGAATATTCAAATCCGATTTATTTGGAAAATTTAGGTTTCAGCCCTTAAACATTACAGTCCCCCAGTTACGATTATATTCTGACTCTGGGTCCAAGCTCGCGCATTAAAATACAGCTGGGTTCGAGACTAATTCGTAGCTATACCAACGTTCTCGATATAAAATAAACCAGAACTGTGACGTTCTCGCGTCCAGTGTGCATAGGCAAATTATCTCGATCCTCAAATTTCAAGTCAATACCGACTAAGTGTAGTTGCTAGCCCTTAAGCCTGTTGTATCACCTCACGAGGCATAAGGTGATACAGCAGGCTGAAGGTAAAATTGTACCCGCTCAAACGCCAGAACAGAGCAAATTTGCGCTTCTGGAATGCTCCCAAAATTTCAACGGCAACTGTTTTCAGATGCAGCTATGGCTGAAGAGAGTAAGTGGGGATTTGTCCCACCATCGCGCCTACTTCAACGACAGCAAAATGGTGGATGTTTGTGAGCTGAGACTCAAAAAGGCAACTTCTTGACCAGCGTATCGACGCCGGAGCTAAAATCTAAGCTTCACAGCTTTTGTTGTTCTGCAGTTAATTCACTGTGGCAGAAATACTTGATATAGTGTTTTTGTTTATGCAAAATGAAAATTAACTTATGCTCATAACAATGATTGGCGCAACAAAAGAAAAGAAAAACAACAGCGATATTAGTAAACATGGTGATATATGGTCAACATAAACTGATCATCATTCTTCCTTGCATCGTCGACTCGACCCTTGCACCTCCATTCATCACTGCTTGATCAGCTAGGGCCTGCATATATGCTTCATTCATTTCAAGTTCCTTTTAATCCCCTCAGAAAGGCGAATAACAAAAAGCTGCTGAGTTGCACGAAAGGTTATTCTCCCGAAATGGTCAGCAATGAAAAATGAATAAACATTTGTGATGATGTTATGTTACCTTGCGCAACAACTGTGCCACCTTTTGGACCACGAGGTCCTTTTTTTCCCACTGGTCCTGGAATTCCTTTGAAACCCTTAGGTCCCCTTGGTCCCGCTCCGCCCTGTTTTCCTGGATCACCAGGAGGGCCTTTTCTTCCTTTCTTGTATTTTTTCGTGCTGCACAAGGACTGAAAAAAATCTGCATTTATGGTTATTCGGAGAAATAAAGTGAAAAAACTGTGTGCAAAAAACTTACGACAAGCAAACAGATGATGAACAGCTGCGCCAGAATCCTCCTCATTTGCTGCAATGGCTTCTTACAGAAAAAGGAGAAACTTGAAAAAGGACTCAGTTAGTTCGTTTTACGATCAAGCAATTTCTCACAAATTCAGAAAAACACGTAATGCACTGCGAATGAACCGAAGGACAAAAAGGCCAGAACTGCCGGCCTCATTC